GCGGTAGTTCGAACGTTCGTTTCGTTTTCTGTTCTTATTCGTTTCTTATTCGTTTCGTTCGTTCGTTTGCAGCAAAGTGACATTTGAGGAGGAAAAAATATTTTTCTCCTTCTCTAATGTCACTTTGCTCCAACGAACGAAACGAATAAGAAACGAATAAGAACAGAAAACGAAACGAACGTTCGAACTACCGCTACCGAATTTCGGAAATGGAAATTCGGATTCGTTTGCATTCGTTATGTCTGTAATTCGGAATTAGGTACACATGTTTGATATAATTGTATAGCCCTACCTGTCCTCTAGAAAACAATATATAATATGTGTGGGTAAATTTAGTAAGAAAGTATATTACAGCCGTGAAAGAATCACACAGCAGAAATGTAAAAGTGTGTCAGTCATATATGAACAGAAACCGAAAACTAGCTCAGTCATGAAGGGGTTAAACAGTCCTATGGTCTTGCCAACATATGCAAGACCGCATGGGCAATAAACAGACGTATTTGATTCACTATTGAAATGCCAGTGGTTCTGCATATTCTACTAGTTATTCACCACGGTTGCCAGCCATTGACTACCGCAGCACCCACCGTTATCTCTTTTGGAACATCGTTTTTTGAGTGCGATGAGTTCATGGATTTTAAGCTACTGTAAGGGGGCATTCTGATAGCGACTAGTTGTCCCCATCATAGTGCCCTTTTACAGTAGGGTTATGGTCCCTATGTGTCACCACATACCAGCAGGCAGAGGGATACAGAGCAGGTGCAGGGGAAAATGGAAAATGTTACTCATCCACCTTCCTGTAATGCTAGCGGCATGGAAAATTGTGTCACTGGGTTGCTAGGACCGCCGGCAGTCCTGTACTATTTAGTCTGGTGGTCTTTTCCCCACCCCTCTGTTTATTGCTTTTGGAGGTTCCATTCATCTTGGTTCAGCATGTGTCCTGTACTGTTCGATCAAGAATATAGGATTTTTTACTTACCTGTAAAATTTTTCTATTGGAGTACAGTACAGGACACAGGACTGTCCCCTCTGTATCCCTAGTTGCTTGCAAAACAACTGAGGATCTCCTGTTGCGGGAGGGGTTATATAGGCTCCTACAGCTCTGGCCATTGTCCAGTCACCTGACGATAACATCATATACTCCAGTCATCTTGATTCAGCCTGTGTTCTGTACTGTACTCCAAAAAAAGTGTTTTAAGGTAAGTCAACAATTCTAAGGCTTATTTACTGTAGATGACTTGATGCAATGGGAGCACAAGAGCGCAATGACCATATGATTACATTGTTTGTGGAGACTGCCAGTCTCTAAATGAGGGCACAAGAAAGGACTTACTAGTGAATCCTGGAGGTGTGACAAGAAATGACTGTGGTAGAGGATCACAAAGGTTTATGCGATACTCCTCACTGTGGATCTGTGAAATACCGAGTGGGCATGGTTCCAATCAAAACGATCGCGTAGGGGAGTCAGTGCGATACTGAAAAAGCTGTTGGCTCTTATGCGGACCAAGCAGCTCCGGGTGGCGGAGAGATTGCCCGGTGCTGGTGGATGGAGTCAGAGGGCCGTGGGTCTGATGGAAATAGGTGGCATCCGAACCGCGTGACAGCGGTATTGGAGGCAAAGGAGTCCGGGCGGTGGACGGTCAGAAGGAATTGTGGTTGGGGGTGTGGGAAAGACAAGGGAACAAGGAGCAACACGTTTCGAGGGAGTCCTCTTCCTCAAGCTCTGAAAAAAGCTACATGGCTTTATTCTTTCAATTTAGTTTCCTTTTATTTTTATGTAAAACATTTTTTTAATTCCTTCAGGACATATACGTTCTCAACCCCCAATCTTAATATAAAAGTTTGGATTGTTTATACATGTCCCAAAGCATTTTACCCTAACACAGCTATGCGAGGAGGGCCTCCCCACAGTGACTTAGACACGTCAGGGATTTCCCCTGATTCATCGTTCACTGATTTAGCTCCGCCCACCTGTCATTTTTAAACTTGGCAGATCTCCCGCCAAAGTAACATGCTTTTTTTCAGAGCTGCCATTTAACCCTGCCACAGGTGCTCCCATTGCATTTTTCACAGGCATTCTCCCCACTCACCCCACTCACCACATCCAGCGTTCTTTTAAAAGCGCTGTTCATTGTTTCTTGTTTTTAGATGACTTGATGTGTGCCTAACAAGACAGTTTACCATGAGAGGGGCCTCTCTTTAGAATGAATGATATTATTATAAAATCTATAGTAAGTTCTTACCACTCATGTGAATAATTCAGTCTGCCTAGACTCATTCTATAAATTGACAAAGCAGAAAACAACCTATTCTTATTGATATTTGGGCTCAGTTTGGCCATCCACGTATTACCCCCACATGCTTTATTTGAAGGTTTTCAAGTTACTGATATGTTAGGTTTTGACTTTTTATGGTTCCTAGGAGTTGAAACTGATCATGTTGTGCTTATTTAAATGATAATTGTAAATGTATAATCAAGAAGAAAAAAAATTGTCTTGCTACATTTTGAATTATTAAAATGCATATATTCCTGTGTTAGTACCCAATACCTAATAAGGATAACTTCTTTCTTTACAGCATTGGCTTAAACTGTGCTTTGGGTGCTGTTGAAATGAGGCCATTTATTGAAGCTATTGGGAAATCTACTACAGCCTACATAATTTGTTATCCAAATGCTGGTAAGAGTTGCTGACATGAGAACTAAATACTGTCATAATTTTAATTTAAAGCTGGTTATGAGATGATGAGTGTGTTTGCCATTCGTTTTGCTTGTTTGATTTGGTGCAGTGACACACTGGGGTCTCAGCTGCTGTTGTAATGTGCGGGGTCCCTGGTGTGTCCCTGTGCCTTTTTAAGGTGGTTGGGCTGCCTCCTGGCTAACCTGCACTCAATTTATATTTTGCTAAATATGCTCCATGATGGAGACCCTCATAGCTTACTCTCTGTATAGAGTTAGGACCACACTATACAGAGAGGCCTTGACGAGGGAGTTTGGCTTCCACATATTCTGCAGAAGACTTGCATCTAAAACCTCTGTTTTTAACCTTAGTAGTTACAAGTTTTTTTTGCAGGCTGGCTGGTGAGTGTGCTGGGAAACTTTTTGCTGTTGTACTGTTTAAAGCCCTTCCATGTGCACCTTGCTTTAAAGCTGGCTATGAGTTGATGAGTGTGTTTGCCGTTCATTTTGCTTGTTTGACATACTTATGTGACGCAGCGTTGGACTCTAGGCCAGTTGGTGTCTCATCTCTCCAGAGGCGGCTCTAGAGTTTGCGAGGCCTTAGGCGAAACCTAAACATGAGGCCCCGCTCAGGCCTGGGGGTCTCACCAGGGCTGTGTGGGGTCTCACCAGGGTTCTGTGGGGTTTAACCAGGCTGGTGAGACCCCACAGAGCCCCAGTAAGACCCCCAAAGAGCCCTGGTGAGACCCCACAGAGCCCTGAATAACACAGGTGTTAACTCTCTGTCTTAGTGGTGGTTCTTTGCCACATTCTGTGGCTCAAGTGTTGGTCAGAGAACCAGAAGTCTAAGAAGGCTTTGATTGAGATGCCTTTCATGGGTGGGCGCTTGTTTGGTGTGTCACTGGATGAGATTATCAAAAATCTCACAGGTGCTAAGAGTACTTTTCTTTCACAAGCAAAAAAGGCTAAGTAGGTTCATCGGAAGTAAGGGGTGCCCTTGTCTGTTCTGCTCAAAAACACCTTTTTCGTGGCTAAGGGGCTTCAGACAAGGACAAGACTATCAATTCTCCTGACGGATGTGGTGCACGGCATTGCTGAAAAGTCCTCCTTGGCATGAAGGTGCACCCCTACTGGGGAATCCCAAGGTGGGGGAATGGCTTCTATTCACATATCTAGCTAGCCTTGATTGTAGACAAGTGGGTCCAAGAGGTGGTTTCTTCAGGATACAGGGTCTGGGAACTAATGTGTCTCATCCTCCAGAGCATTTTTTTATTTTTGCTTCCAATCTGCGGCTTTCTCGATAACTTGTGAGTCTGCATTCTGCCTCTCTTCATATGGGCCTGAGCACATCTGTTGCTCTCATTAGCCCTTCCTCCACTTTGGAGGAGGATCTTCACTTCCAGTTTTTGGCGCTCTCTTTAGGGCTGGCGTTGGCTCCTCAGGTATTCTGGCGCCTGTTCTAGCCTTGTTACAACTGCGTGGGATTCCAATTGATAGTTGGACAACGCTATGTCGTAAGCCTATAATCAGGGTGGCACAAAGAGTTATGCAGCGGCATTGAAGGTTGCTCGAATCCTGTGTTTGGTGGAAGCTTACATGCCGACTCTGTCCACCGCTGACATTCCAGGGGTCGAAAACTGCAATAGGTTGGGCAGAAGCTTTAGAGAAGGAAATGCATAACTGAGAAAATACAGCTCAGGAAATCTGCCTGCAGAGGATATAATTGGAGGGCATTTCATCTGAAACTGTTGGCTCCCGATTGGCCATGTTAAGCCTGGTACACAGATGTGGTTTGTCTACTCACAGAGGCTCTCTGGTGCCTTCCGCTACTTCCGGATCTTCTTTCACAGTGTCCAATCTTCCATCCTGCTTTAGAGTCGCTGGCTTTGATGGCATGGCTGTTTGAGAGCCAGGTGCTAAGGGATTGAGGTATTTCCTCTGCGTTGATCTCTGCAATGCTACAAGCTTGTAAATCCAGTTTTCTGTCGATTTACTATTGCACATGGAAAGCTTACTTTGCATGGTGTGAGTCCAATGCTTTTCACCCTCATCTTTCTTGATTGCTAGAGTTTTTTGTCTTTTCCTTCAATGGGGGGTGAATCATCGTTTAACGTTGCGCAGCATCAAAGAGCAGGTGTCTGCCTTGGTGGTCCTTTGTTCAGCTAGCACACCATTATCTTCCAAAGAAACTCAAACTTTATTCCACTTGCATCTATACAAAGAACAACCGCTGATGCGTTTCTGCCTCACTCAGCCTTATGGTCCTAGCTGGTTGTAATCTAAAACCAACCCCACTAAAATAGCACGCCACACAGGGCGGCGAGAAACACTTAGAAACACCTGTATCTAATAAACAGTCCATGTGATTACATAAAAATAAAACAGAGGAAAAGAGGAGAATGACCATTACAATTTTCGATTGTCAAAATATTTTGATGTTAGTGTTCCCACTGTTATGGATTTCACTATTTTTAATGTTTGATTTTGATGATGTTCACCCATAATTCTGAAGTGCGCAGTCTTCTGTTTTCATCTGTTTTGTGTTTAATGTAATCTCATGGACTGTTTATTAGATACGGGTGTTCTTAAGTATGTGGCGTGCTTTTTTAGTGAGGTTGGTGTTAGATCACAAGTAGCTATGACTAAAGCCTAGTAAGGCAGAAATGCATCAGCGGTTGTTCTTTGTATAGGTGCAAGTGGAATAAAGTTTGAATTTCTTTGGACAATCCTGTGCAGAACCAGCAGTTTCAGAGCCCATCACTCCAGAAGAGTCATCCGTGCACCCAGTGTGGATTGCAGAGACGTATGACACGGGTGAGCGGTGCGCTTTGGGTTTCTAGCCTTTTTTCAGCTACCCTTGGCTACTCATTTCCCTGGTTCGTACTTTCATTCAGGGTGTCATTCGGGTGGCACCTCCAATAGAGCCACCTTTGACGTCTTGGCATCTGAACCTTGTTGTTTCTGCCTTACAGAAGTCTCCATTTGAACATATTTGGGGAATTCCTTTTGTTTGGCAAAGAAGGTTGCTTTTTTGGCAGATTGGCATGTGTCTGAGTTGGCAACATTGCCTTGTGTTCAATCCTTTTTGGTTCTGCATTGGGAGAAGGTCATTCTTGGACCTCATCCGTCCTTTTTGCCAAAGGTGGTTTCATTTTGTATATTTAAATGAGGACATTGTTCTGCCATCTTTATGTCCTAAGCCTAGTCATCCAAAGGAGGTGGCTCTTCATTCTTTGGATGTGTTCAGGGCTATTCTGGTCCATCTGGTGGCTATTTTTGAAAAACAGATTCCTAGTTCATTGTCCCAGATGCTTCCAGGAAAGGGCAGGTGACCTCAGCTGCCACTATATTCAGGTGGCTTCGTCAGACTTTGATTCAGTCTGTTATTAAGGGTAGTGAACCTCCTTTTCGGGTCAATGCCCATTCTGACAGAGCATTTGAATGCTTCTTGGGCTTTTCATCACCAAGCTTTTGTTGCCCAAGTTTGTAAGACCACTACATTGTCTTCTATCCACCCTTTCACTAAGTTCTATGGGGTGGATGTTGCGTTGTCTGCACATGCAAGTTAGGTTAAGGTCTTGCAGGCAGTGGTGTGAGCATCTCTTTTTGTTGTGGGTATTTTTTATGTTTAGCCCACCCTCTAATTTCACTGCTTTGGGATGTCCCATATAGTCCAGATCCTAAAGTTTCGGCTGTGTCCTTCAATGAATGGAAGAGAAAATATCATTTTTGTACTCGCCTTAAAACCCTTTTCTCTGCGTTCAATTGTTCTCTTTCTTCCATGTCCAAGGAGATTAGCTACAGTGCCATGGGCTGTAAACTTGTTGACAATGTTGCGCACAGTGGACAAAGGAGCATAAAGATCTCTGGAGATAGACTTGTAACCTTGAGATTGTCAATGCTTTTCCACAAAAACTTGGAATGCACTTATTTCTTGCAATTTGGAGAAGGTGCCAATATTTTTGTCCTTTCCATTTTTGGAGTTTTGCGTGGAATGTGTCAGATTTGGCTTTTTTTTTTCTCCACTTTTTTGTGTCATACCAATACAAGCAAAAGAAATAAACATGAGAATGCCTAAACATTTGTAATTGCAACAATCTAATTGTAAATTGTAATTGTAAAAATCTACGTGAAGTGGTGACAGAAATGCAGGGATGACAATAGTTTCATCCCCAATACTAGTTTAAAGCAAAGTGAATTAAACAGTTCCTTTTTTTGATTGATTTGACCACCATTAGTAATGTAAATTGTCATTCTTCCATAGGTCTGCCGAACACATTTGGTGGTTATGATGAGACACCAGAGGTGACTGCTAGGCACATTAAGGTGGGTAACTGTCATGTGGTGCACTGTGAATTGCCAGCTTCTGCTGTTTTGTGTAGTTCATGATGAGTTTTAGATGGGGATGCACCAAAACAAATTTTTAGACCGAAACCGGAATTTCTAAATTTGTCAGGCCAAAACCGAAACGACCCCTGATATTTCCCTTTTAATATAGATAGATTGAGGACACAGAGCCCTCAATTTGTTTGTCTGCAACCTTAGCACTCAATGAACAGGAAGCTCTCAGTACAGAGGTTTCCTGTTCATTCAAAATCTGGAGATCTTAAATATTTACCATCAACCCAGTCATGAATGGGCAGGAAGCCTCTGTACTGAGCTGCTTCCTATTCATTCACTCCGCTGGGGGCCGTCAGCTGGATCTATTCTGTGTCCCCTCCGATTCCTGTTGTCTCTGCAGCACAGGTGGGGTAGCGCAGCAGAGGTTGGAGAGGACACAAACAGAAGCTTGCAGCCGGTGCCCAGTAGGGAGATAAGAGGCTGTGGATGCATCGCATTTTTAGCCATTTTTTTTTACTATCAGCATTTTGCCCATAGTACCATTTCCTGCTGAAATGTTTCAGCAGCTGAAATTTCGGTGCACCCCTAGTTTTAGATATACAGGTATTCCTCACTTAACGACCGAGTTCCGTTCCTACGACCAGGTCGTTAAACGGATTGGTCGTTAAGTGAGGAACTCTATACAGTACTGTACTGCATTAGTACAGTACTGTATAGCGTTGCCGATGTACAGTACCGAACATGTACTGTACATCGGGCAATTAAAATACTTACCGGAACCCGCAGTGAAGATCGGAGGACACCACTTCCGCCGGCGACACGTCGCACTGACGCACAAGGTCGGAGGTCGATCGGCGGTCCGTCGTAAGTGCGAGTGGTTGCAAAACAGGTAAGTCGGTAAGTGAGGAACATCTGTATGGGTTTTTCCTTTTTTTATTGCCATGCAAAAATAATTTTATTAATCCAAGTATTAGCGTTTTTCAATTTTGTTTTCTTTTTTGTACCTTATTTAACCCTTTCGCTGCCAAGCCCTCCGGAACATTTTTCAAATCAGCTGGCCGAGCCATTTTTGAATTTTCTGCAATTTTTTCCTATTGATTTGATTTTCATGGGATGGCTCCAGGGAGGGATGAGAGACTCCAGATGCCGGCGGCCGACAGCGGCGGTGCTGGTGGGGGGCGCCCGTTATTTTTGAAAATAGCGGTCATCAGCTTATAGTAGAACTGTAAATGCCAGGTCCGTACGGCATACTGAGCTGGCCAGCTGGAAGCACTTTTGTAGCTCCGTACGCCGTACGTCCTTGGCAGCGAAAGGGTTAAAACGTTTCAGCAAATGACATTGAAATGCATAAACAGGTATAAGGGACCTGAACAAGGTAATAAGGGGGCTAATAGTCCCTCAATGGATGGAAGTCATTCCTCTATAGCTGATGGTACATTGTGCTGTACTGTATATTATACAGAGCAATGTACCATCAGCTATAGAGGAATACAAATCCCAGGAATACATTATATACTGTATGTATAATGTATTGCTGGGATTTGTTGTATTCATATATAGCTGGTGGTATTCTGCATTGCGCTGTATAGAGGTCTACAAATCCCAGCAATAATACATTATACAGCGCAATGCGGAATACCACCAGCTATAGAGGAGTACAACAAATCCCAGCAATAATACATTATTTGGTGGTGCAATGCTGAATACCACTAGCTATAGAGGACTACAAAACCCAGCAATAGTACATTATACAGCGCAATGCAGAATACCACCAGCTATAGAGGACTACAAAACCCAGCAATAGTACATTATACAGTGCAATGCAGAATACCACCAGCAATAGAGGACTACAAAACCCAGCAATAGTACATTATAGCTGGCGGTATTCTGCATTGTGCTGCATAATGTACTATTGCTGGGATTTGTAGTCCTCTATAGCCGGTGCCATTCTGCATTGCCGGTGCCATTCTCATTGCTGTATAATTTTACACTTTTCATTTCACTATATTGCACACCACACTTATTTTTTTCTTTTTTACTTCCACCGCTCCAAGCTTGCTCCTGTGATGGACTGCAATCTCAATACAAACTAGTAGTCCCATCACTGGAGCCATTTTTTAACATTTATTTTTTTATCCGATTAACCAATTAATCGAACTTAATAATCGGCTAACCGATTTTGAAAATAATCGTTAGCTGCAGCTCTACTTGAATTTATCAGTGGATACCACTGCCTATGGAAGGGAATTACTACTTATGATAGCAGTTTTATTTGCAAATTCCTGCATGTAGTCCCTTATCTTGCCTTCAAATATTTTGCACACTATTGATGGCGTCAAATTAAAAAAAGTTAACCACGGGGTGCGTGTAAGGCTCCGGACACAGCATCTCCATAATCGGCACCTTACACCAATCTAGCGACAGACATTCACATGTCTAAGAAGAACAAACAGAAGGGGCGCAAGCCGACCCCTAAAATGGCTTTCCACCGCCTATTTGACGGGGCTTCTTGCCCGGACGAGAGGAGGCCTCTGTCACGCCGCTCTACAGTACAGAGCAGGCCGCCTGACGCGACTCATCGACGGGCAGACTTGGCCCCTCCCACTCTGCTCCGTGAAACCCGTCACTCCAGGAGACCGGAGGAGACGGATCCCCGGACTCCTGTGAGCAGCCACCGGACCCAGCAGCGGGACCTACAGATGCTCCTCTCCTCCGATCGGTACCCAGAGGGAGGGGGGCCTTCACCGCACCGCTCTCCAGTGTGGAACGGGCCGCCGGACGCCGCTCCATGATGGGCAGATTTGGCTCCTCCCACCCCGATGCTTGCAACACAGAGCGATGAGAGGCCAGGAGAAACTGAGCCTTGGCAGATGGGGAGGAACGGTGAGGCCCACCAGCGAGACCCGCAGCTGCCCTCCTCCACAGCATGGGACCCATCAGCAACGAGGCAGCGGCGGCACTCTTCACCTCCTGCAGAGGTAAGCCCTCCCCCAGTAATTACTCAGGTGCAGGCCGGAGAGGCCATGGACTCAGTTTGCACGCACCCTAGGGGGGATCCCACTCTGGCACAGACCCCAGCCTCACATACTACGCATGACCCAGGACAGGAATTGTCCCCACTGCCGCCCCGCACATGCCTCTAACGGGTCCAGACACCCCAAGCCCCTTCTCTCAACCAGAATGCATGGGCACTACCCCCTACTGTGACGGGTGAGGACAGCTCACTGGGATCATGGCGTTCAGCTTCCCCCAAGCTCCCATTAACAGGGGAATCCCAATGGAATGTGCTATGCTCAGGGTCGGAGCCCCGTGTAGACTCTGATCTCAGATCCTTGCTTCAGGCCCTACCGACAAAGGCTGACATTGCAGCGCTCATCCCTACCAAAGCAGACTTTGAAGCATTCACGGCACGCATTGAATCCATATACAAACAAGACTCGCTGAAATCCGACAGGAACTCACGACCTTTACATCTAAGCTTACAGAGGTCGAACAATCCCATTCCGATCTCTCGGAGAGAGTCGCTCTGCTGGAACGTGCACAGACAGGTCACCAACAACAGATGTATCAAGTCCTGCTCTCCACGGATGATCAAGACAACCGCGGCCTGCGAAACAACATCTGTATCGGGCATACCGGAATCAACTTCCGCAGCTGATCTTAAAGAGACTGTTTGTGAGATTCTCAACCTGTATCGAGACAAACCCCATGGAACTCTGATTGAGCTAGACAGGGTCCACAGGTCTTTGGGGCCCCGCTCCATGGATGTCGCTCGCCCCAGGGATGTCATATGTAGAGTCCATCACTACACCAAAAAAGAAGAAATCATGATCCACGCCTGGAGGAAAGGTACCCTAGATTTTGATGGTGCACATATCCAGTTGTATCCAGACATACGTTACTGATGAGGCGAGTTCTTCGCCCCCTACTGGAGAAAATACGTGATTGTGGTGCTACCTATAAATAGAGATACCCGTTCCACCTGATTGTACAGAAGTTGGACTCCTCCTTTCGTCTGTACTCCCACGAGGACCTCCCAGCACTCTTCTCCTTCCTGCAAACGGACCCCATCACCGTGCCTAACTGGCTGCAAGCCCTACTGGATCCTGCCCACAGACCCGATGGTGCCCGTACCGCTGGACGTCCGCCTTGTGCTCCGAACCCTACTCGCTACCATCTATCGGATCGCTCAGCTAGACGGAACCACCCAACTTCTAGGGAACGTGGTCCCCACCGCCTTAACCCATCACACAATGAACCATAGACGTCTTTAATCCCAAGAGTGGCCTTGAAGTCTTCACACCCGAGAACTCTGGGACGGTAACTTTGCAACTGTGTTTTTTTCTTTTTTTTCGTATCGACCCGAGCATAACAACTAGCCGCGGGCATGCCGCAGTTATATGTACTTAATGTTTAGCATATCTAGGTTGTGCCCCTCGAGACTGGTTGTCCTTGCCTCCTGATACTTCATCTAGACTAATCAACAGGTTAGATATTTACATGGCTGTTTTTTGTTTTTTTTTACCCTTCAATTGTTTGCATCGAACCTCCCTGGGGCTCTCTCCAGGCTACTTGCTGCACCTCTACAAAACACAAAAAAACAAAAAGAAATTTATTTTTCTTCTTTCTTTCTCTTTTTTCTTCTTTTTTCTACTTGCTGCACCTCACCTTTTCTTTTATGGGGGGGTTTGCAGGTGGGCCTGGGGAGACCCCTAGCTACCTATAAATGGGGATACCGGTTCCACCTGATTGTGCAGAAGTTGGACTCCTCCTTTCGTCTGTACTCCCCCGAGGACCTCCCAGCGCTCTTCTCCTTCCTGCAAACGGATCCCATCACCGTGCCTAACTGGCTGCAAGTCCTACTGGATCCGGCCCACAGACCCGACGGTGTCCGTACCGCTGGACGTCAGCCACGTGCTCTGAACCCTACTCGCTACCATCCTTCGGATCGCTCATCTAGACGGAACCACCCGCCTTCTAGGGAA